AAATAGTACACATGTAGGTAGCAAATATAAACAGCTTCAAAAAACTAATGTGGACGAATACAAATGAATCTTTTTTAAGTGTGCTTTGTTTCATTGTGGTAAAATTCACATAACATAAAATTCATCATTTAAGTTCATCACTTATCATTCACCAAAAAATAAAATATGTAAATAAAATCCACCAGTTCTACATATCAGTGAAATCAAGAACATTCACAAACTGATGCAGCCATCACCTTCATTTCTAAGACATTTTTCTCCAAAATTAAACACAGTGCCTACTCGGCTATCATTCCTCATTCCCATCCCCCAACCCTGGCATCCACTCACCTGCTGGCTGTCTTAATGGAGCTGCCTATTCTATCATTTATTGTAAAGCAAAGTGTGACCTGTCCATCTAGCTTCTTCCACCTAGAATAATGCTGTTGAGCATGGCATAGCATCACTCCATCCCTTTTCTGGCTGAATATTATTCCATCCTATGGGTGTTGAGTTGACCCACTCAGCCACTGATGAACATTTGGGTTCGTTTCACCATTTGGCTATTGTGAATAGTGCTGCTAAGATATTGATGTATAAATGTTTGTTGGAATAACTATTAGCAGTTCTTGGGTATCTACTGAGAAGTAGACTTGCTAGGTACCATGGTAGTACTGTGTTCAATTTTGGGGGAAACCACCAGACGGTTTGCAAAGTCGCTGCACTATTGTATATTACACCAGAGGGGTGCAAGGGTCCCCTTTCCAAGGCCTTGACAAAAAGTGTTACTTCCATCATGTTTGGTTTTATCAAGGCCTTTCTATTGTATGTGAGGCGATGTTTTGTTGCCGGTTTGAGTTGCATCTCCCTGTTGATGGATAATGGTTGGCATCTTTTCATGAGCCTCTGGGCCATTTGTATATCTTTTTGAAGAAATATCTATCCTTTGTGCATCTGTGATTGGGTTGGTCCTTTGGTTGTTGAGTTGTAAGAGCTTTTCATCTATTTTGACAGGAGACCATTATGAGATGTGCAACTTGGAAATGCTTTCTCCATCCTATGGATTATCTTTTCACATCTGTGATAATTGTTTCACTTTAATGTCAGATGTTTTCAGTTTTGAGGAAGTCTACTTTATCTACTTTCTCCTTCATTGCTGTACATTCAACATCATATCTAACAATCCATTGCCAAATCCAAGGTCCTCTTATGGGCTTCAGTTCTTAGATTGAGGCCTTTGTTCTATTTTGAGTTAACCTATGTGTGTGGTGTGGGGTAGGGGTCCACTTCCTTCTTTTTCCTTGGATATCCAGTAATCCCCCATCAATCATTGAAGAGATTGTTCTTATGCCCATTGAATACTCTTGGTCCCTGGTTGAAAGGCACTTGACAGTAGGGTTAGTTCTGGGCTCACCTTTCCCTCTGTCTTCATGCCAGTACCATGCTGCTTTGCTCTCTACTCATTTGCCGTCTGTTCTGAAATCAGGAGTGTGCGTCCTCCACCTTTGTTGCTCTTTTCAGCTATTCATTAACTACTTGGATCTCTTGCAATGCTGTGTTAATTTTAAGGTGAGTTTTCCATTTAAGCAAATTATAATGTTAATGGGCTGTTGGGACATTTATAGGATGACATTGACCCTGTAGATCTCTTTGGAGA